AACCCTCTCCTCTCCTTCACTTTTTCTCCTCATGTTATCTCTATTATTCATCTCTCATCTCATTTATGATCTATTGAGGAATGAAGATAATTTCATCGTTCCAAATCTCCTATTTTTTTCTTTTAAATTTTAGGTCATTTTTTTTATTTTTAATATTTTTTACACTATAAAATATAAAAAACATCAATTAAGACTAGTCTTTGAAAAGCCAAGGCCTAAATGAGCTAGCTTTATTAAGTTTGATTACACTTTAAAATTTCATTTTAGTCAACTTGGCCCTAGCCCTCTAGGCTAAAGGGCCACCTCTTAGAGCCTTGACCCTATATATATATATATATATATATTATTTTTCATTTTAAAAATTTAAAAAATATATTTAAAATTTTAAAAAAGTTATTACACATGACATTAAGTTTATAAAGATAAATTTAAGACAATACACAATATAACAAATTTAAATCTAATCAAAGTAGCAACATCACAAAATTAATATTGATAATAATAAAACTTTGCTAGTATCATTAGCTAAATCTTGATTATCATTATCATCAATATTAATATAATTTGATTCTTCTCCTTATGGAGCCTCATCATTGGCAAAGATGTTAAGTTTTTCATATATTCCTTCATCATCATCATTATATGCAACAAATAATAAACCAAAAACATAACTTTGAAATATTTACAATTTGAAAAAATATTAAACCAATAATAATAAGTTACCATTATACTCAAAAACCATGCAAAAGAGCATGAATGGCAGAAATCAAATGAATGTGAGGGAGGTAAGCTAGCGTTTTCAATTTTTTAAGCTCAAATTACCATTTTACACTTCAAAAAAGTGGCTCAACCCTATATTTTTTGATCTTAAAAGGGCTGAGCTTGTCAATGGCTCTAATCAAATAAAAGGATCTTAAATACATGATTTTTTTATTATTTATAGATATCCTTCTATTAAAGGCGATTATGTTCGAGGCACAGTCATGGATTAAATATGTTGTCATATTATGAGGGACTAGCCCCTTCTACTAGACTCAACTTCTATTAATTAAATACATAAATTTTAAATATGATATTTTAAATTTAAAATAGAAGATTAATTCTTCGCTTATTCTTTTAATTTTTCTCAATTTTAAATTAAGTCCTCGTAATTTATTTTATTTTAACAAGGAATTATAATTTAATTCATTAGATATGTAATAAGTGTTGTTTGTGTCTATAGACATATTCTATCTTTGATGAGCCCCCACCACTAAATCCCAACTCATTTAAATTTTTTCTTTTGGAAAAAGAAAAGAACCCATCACTATTAATTAATTTCCTGAAAAACTGGGAACAAAATGAAAGGGAAAATAACAATTAGAGATCTTGTAAGATCATTAATGATAATTTCATACATTAAATTGTTGAAATTCTAATAATAGACCATAATCCTTAATTGCAATAAGTTGTTTTTTATTGATTAGCTTGAGATTCATGACAAACTTTAGTAAAATTTCAATTGAAGTTACAATTTTCAATTATCTTTTGTTGACTTCCCCAGTGATTGAAAAAATTACAAGTAATTTGCTTGTAATTCGTAACTAATTTCATAAATTCTCAACTAACGTTACAAATAATCTCAACTATATTTAGTAGATTTTTTAAGTGATTTATCTATATATTAAAAGGAAAAAATCATAAACAATTGGCTTGTGATTTATTGCTGACTCTTGTAAATTTCAAACTAATATTACAAATAATCTTAAGTATATTCACTTAATTTTTCAAGTGGTTTATCTATACATTCGAAGCAAAAAAACTGAAATTCCTAACTAACTTTCATAAATTCACAATTGACATTACAAATAATATTAATTGTAGTTAATAAATTTTTCAACTGAGTATTTACATTTTTTTAATTTCATGTAAGGATTGTAGCTTTTTTATTAAATTTTAATAATTTAATATTTATAATTATCATAATCATTTTCCCAAAATGAAAGTCTTGCTTTTTAGTTAATGGCAGCAAGTCTTCCAAGCGTGAGTGAAAATTCCTCCTTGGTGGGGCTACCTTCACCTTTTAAAAAAAAATCAAAAATAAATTGATAAAATAATCAAAAGAAAGTAAAGTTATCTTGATTCTAAATTATTGAAAGCATAGTACGCATGGAAGCATTCGTGGATATTGACAAGTGATTATTAATATATAGATAATGTCTTTTTCCCCACAATCTTTTTTTTTCCCCAATTATATCTCAAGATGTGCGATGATATTTCATAATTATAGAATCCTTTTTAGCTATTAAAAAGCTACAAGGGTCCTTAGGTAATATTTTCCATAAATTTATATTGCTTCCGAAAATTGCTTCAATTTCCAATGATCGATAATCAATTATTTATTTAAGGGAGTCTATAGTAGAAGCTTAATTAATTAAACTACACTATATAACTATCCATAAGGAGTTGTATATTAAGAATGAGTCTATATATATTTTTTAAGACAAACACAACTATATGCAGAAATGGGCCTATTATATTATGCAAGAGAATGAGTGAAATAAACATACTAATTTTATTAAACTCTGACTGGGTATAAGTACATGACTGCTTCTCATTGGAATGGTTCATTATATTCCCTGTCAATCAATGATATATTGATAAAATGATCTGCACTTCAATGAGATTAGAAATACTTGAGACAAGTTGATTTTTTTTTTTTTGGGTCAAACAAGTTGGTTTTACAATTAATTTATGGGAGAATGACATCCATAAGTTTGCATTGGATATTGACTGATAAAAATATTTGTATTTTTTTGGTTAAAAGTTGAATCTTCTCTTATTAAATTTACAAGGAAATTCTAACAAAATATAAATTAAGTTTCAACTTTTAACAATAATATATATATGTGTTTTCACAAGATATAAAACTAATGGGTTCTTATTACAATAAATTCCATGGAAAGGACCTTAAATGTCTCTCTTCATTTCTTTTAAACCAAAGGGAAATAAGTTCATGGTTCATGGCAGCCTGTTTCCAACTATGCATGACTGACTGACTGACTGCGAAGGTTACATTTATGGATGAAGTTACAAGTTGACTATCAGGCTTTATAAGGATGACGATTAATGATAAATCTCTAAGTTGATTGATGGATGGTACACTTAAAATCAGAAGAACTACTTTCCTTGAATATATAACATATGAGACATGATGATGCCCAATGTTTTCTTTTTTTCAACCAAATATACAATGAGTTTTACAATGCAATAATTATTTTTGGACTTTAAATCCTAAGGTGCAATTTCCTTGAAAAAACAAGGACACATTTCAAACAATACATTATCATCAATAGTGAGGACTCTCTTGATAGCATTAACAAGCTACATCTTACCTAATTAATACGATTAAGATTTAAGGATAAATAGACCTGCATTCGCTGCTCATTCATCACTTATAGGTTCATCTTAACTTGTCATTTCACTTTGAAATGATTTATCCATTCATTTAAATTAATTTTAAAATATATTTAAACTATAATATTATAATTTTTATTTTTATAAATACAATGATAAAAATATGTAAAAATTAATTTAAATGAACTGAACAGACATTTTCATTTCAAAGTGAAATGCAAGGTCAAGATGAGCCCTGAAGTGATGAGCACTCGTTGCTCATCACAAGCACCAAATGCAGATCATGGATAGATGAACCCAGGAGTTTGGAGTCAGCACAGTTCTCTACGAAACATAATGCCAATGACTACAGATCATATATATGTGTATATGTAAGGAACTAAATTAATAATACTTAAATTGATTTGAGGATTATAATTTTTTCTCATTTAGCTAGATAAACATGTTAATTTAAATTGTTAAAATAATTTATATATTAGATTAATTTGAGAGATACTTGTGTTTTGAAATTAGAAGCCAAAAAAAAAAATTGACAGCATCTATAATAATTTGTTATAAAATTATACAGTATATATATATATATATATTTTTTTTTTGCCAACAAAATTATACAGTATGTTAATGCTCAAAGTTCAAAATTTGCTAGTTTTAAACAACACTCAACCATCTATGACTCTGATTTCTGATGTGCTAATTAATACAACTAAGCAAAATTTGTTTTGATATCTGTAAAATCTTATATTTTCCTTGAACACATGACTTGTGAACTTCTTGATGCACAATGTCTCTTTTGTTCAATCTGATATAAAAAAGTTTGACAGGCAAGAATTAGCATGTGTTTGACCTTTAACTCCTTGTGTGTAATTTCCTAGAAATAAACCAATGATGTTTTCCAGACACGGCATTATCTTCAATGGCGTGTGGGGACGCTTGTTAGCACTAACAATAACCTGACATGATTAAGAAGCAATGGGCCTACCGGCGAGGACGCTATACTTCTATTACTCTTATCTCTCATTAATTGAAGAATAAAAATTAGTTTATCATTTCAAATCTTCTATTTTGCTTTCAAATTTTAGTTCATATTTTTTCTAGCTTTAATATTTTTTACACTCTCAAATAAAAAAAATTTAAATACATAATTTTTTTATTATTTACAGTCGAGAATTAAATATGGATACCTCTCTTAGTTAGAATTTGAATCTTAATTCATCACATTGTGTGAAACTAACTCCTTTCACTAGACCCAACTACTATTGATAAAATATATAAATTTAAATATAAGATTTTAAATTTAAAAGAGAAAATTAATTCACAAGTCCTTTTAATTTTTCCCAATTTTAAAGTAAATCTTGTAATTTATTTTATTTTAATTAAAGCTTAAATTTTTTCTTTTGAAATCACAATTAATTAATTTCCTGAAAAACTGACAGAAAATGAAGTCTTGCTTTTTCGTCAATGACAGCAAGTCTTCCAAGTGCACGTGAAAATTCCTCCTTGGTGGGGCAGTCGCCACTTTTCTTTTTCTAAGCAGAAATATTGGGGAAAAAAAAAAGTACAGAGCATGAATTTAAACCTACAAGTCGATCTTGCAATCTTCACAGATCGTGTTGCTTAGCTCTAATCATCTGCCATTTCTAAGCTCTGATTTTGGCAAGATCAGCTGCGAAGGCCATTACTGTATCATGGCACTAGTTCCAGGATCCTCTTCTGTCACTTGTAAATGGACTTATGACGTATTTCTTAGTTTTCGCGGTGAAGATACTCGCCTCACTTTCGTTGGCCATCTCTACGATTCTCTGCGTCAGAGAGGAATTCGCACCTTCTTTGATGATAAAGCCTTCCATGCAGGCGAAGAAATCCGAGAATCTCTGTTCAAAGCCATCAAAGAATCAAGGATCCATCTGACGTGCGGCATCAGAGAGGGAGTTATGGAGAAGCTTTGGCTCATCTGCAGAAAAGATTTGAAGACGATGATGACAAGTTGAAGAAATGGAGGTGCGCTTTGACTCAAGCAGCTAACTTGACTGGCTGGCATCTCCAACATGGGTATATTTTAGTTGGTGTTTACCTCATGATTCTACTTTTATATATTTTTGAAGAAGTTACGATGATTGAAGTTTTCTAAGATTTTATAATTGAAATTTAAAATTGAGAATAATTAAAAGATAGGAAGTTATGATAATAAGAGGGACAGTGGAAGAGAGATTGACGAAAGTGGTCTCTAACAGTTTTACAGATATTGCTATCATCTTTTTTTCCAAAAACAAAAAACATTTTTTGCAATCAATGGTAATTAACATGGACATGCTAAATTCCTAAAAGTGTGTATGTGTCAAGTTAGGAATACTACTGCTTGTGATTATAGTGTCCAGAAAAATAGTACTAAATTTATTCTGTTAAACATATAGAGGTTTATGTCTTTGAATCTTATTTGCAAATTCTGTGTTTATTAGACCATCGATGATCCTTGTACGTAAATTCTTGATTAATGTAGATAAAATTTGTTTATCTTAATTTTTTCTGAACCGATCATAGAAGAAGAAAATATTTAAATTGGACAGATAGTTGATATTGAGCTCATGGAGAGATTTTTTAGGGTGAGGAAATTATGGTGCTTGAACTTTTTTAAAATTTTTAAAAATTATGAATAAATTGGGAAGTTATGATAATATTTGAACTGGAGAGATAATTGATATATTGAGATATAGTGGAGAGATTTTCTGGGTGGAAAAGTTATGAAGCAAGAACTTTCTCCTAAGATTTTTATATGTTTAAAATGTTAAGTTCAACTGACACGTAGTTACGATTAAAATGGATAGAAAGTAGAATTTGAAAATTAGAGAACTATCAGAAATTTAAAATATATAAATTAGATTATTTTATTTAAAATAATTAAAATTCGATGCGGCTCTTCAAAATTACAACATTTACAAAATAGGGACATCTCAAGCTAGAAATGCTTAGCTTATTTATTTAAAGTTCTTTAAATTAAGGAGAGAGACAGGAGAGTAGACAATTAGATTACAAGAGCAATTGACATCTGTAACAGAATATTCATAATGATATTAAAAATAAAATTAAAGTGCCAATTTCAAACACAAAAGGAAGATGTCTATAATTTTGGCAAAATGGAACGGATCAAGTTCATTGTACTTTACTTTTTATTTTATCCTCTTTCTGATTCCATTTCATTCTTTTTATAACATGCATATCAATTTTTTTGGTCTAAGTAAAGGAACCTTTTAATGGCAGGGTTGCAAATGAACAAGAGTATATTAGAAAAATTACTTGTGTAGTCTCTACCAAGATTAATAAACACATTCGTTTGTATGTTACCAATTATCAAGTTGGCCTTGAGCCTCGGGTACAAGAAGAAATCTCACTTTTAGATCTTTGGTCCAAGGAAGAAGTCATCATGATCGGAATTTGTGGAATTGGTGGGATTGGTAAATCAACAATTGCAAGAGCTGTGTATAACTCAATTGCTGATCAGTTTGATAGTTTATGTTTTCTTTCTAAAGTTAGAGAAATCTCTAACAAGCATGGCTTGTCACATCTTCAAGAGACATCACTTCATAAATTAGTCGAGGAGAAGGAAATCTCATTGGATGATGATTTTCATGAAGGAATTTCAATAATAGAACATAGGCTTCAAAGCAAGAAGATTCTTTTACTCCTTGATGATGTCAACAAATTGGAGCAGTTAAAAGCACTAGCTGGAAGATGTGACTGGTTCGGCTCAGGAAGTAGAATCATCATTATGACAAGAAATAAACAGCTCTTAAAAAGTCATGGGGTTACAAGAATTTATACTGTCAAGAAATTAGGTTATAAGGAATTCTCTTTAGTTGATTAAATGGAATGCTTTTAAAAAGGGCATTGTGGATTCAAATTACATAGATGTTTCAAATCGTGCCATTAAATATTCATGTGGCCTTCTATTAGCCTTGGAAGTAATTGGCTCTAATTTATGTGATAAAGATGTTGATAAATGGAGTTCTGCATTAGAGGAGTACGAAAGAATACCTAATAAAGACGTCTTTGAAGTCCTTAAATTAAGCTATGATGCTTTGGAAGAAGAACATAAGGAAATTCTTCTTGACTTGGCTTGTTTCTTCAACGGAGAGAAATTAGGAGATGTCAAAAATATGTTGGTGATTGCACGTGGAGTCCAACCAACTTATGCTATTAAAGTGTTCTAATAAATCTCTAATAAAGATTAAAAAAGATAGTGTAATAATGCACGACTTAATAGAAAATATGGGTAAGGAAATTGTTCGACAACAGTCACGAAGAGAACCTGGTAAACGAAGTAGGTTATGGTCTTATGAGGACATTCTTCATGTCTTGCAAAATGACACAGTAAGAGCACAACATCTACCACTTTTTATTCAATGCTTACCTTTATATGACCTTTTGTGTGTGTGTGTGTCTCTTTCTCTAAAATCCAGTATTTATTGTGTGCTTCTCATTTTGAAAGGGAAGTGATGAAATTGAAGTCATAATTCTTGACTTGCCTGAAGGTAAAGAAATTTAATGGAGCGGAGAGGAATTTAGGAGGATGAAGAACCTCAAATTTCTCACAATAAAAAGTGCAAGTTTTTCTAGAGCCCCTCAATATCTCCCAAATAGTTTACGTTTGTTGGAATGGAAGGGGTACCCTTTTGAATTCTTGCCTTCTAATTTTCATCCATCCAAACTTGTCCATCTTGACATGTCCAATAGTTGTTGTGTAGTGCTCCAACCATTTATTAAGGTATATTTATAACTACTCTTAGAACTACAGAATTCTTTGATTCATTTGTTTGATTTTTTCAATTTTATTTTGCAGAAACTTGGGAGTTTAACTCACATAAATTTTAGCAAGTGCAAATTCCTAAGTCAAATACCAAACTTGTCAGGAGCTTTGAATTTAAAAGAATTGCGGCTTGATGATTGTACAAGTTTAATTGAAATTGATGACTCAGTTGAATCCTTAGACAATCTTAAAGAATTGAGCGCCATGTGATGCAAAAATTTGAAAAAATTTCCATCTACTATCAAGTTGACATCCTTGGAACAGCTAAAACTCTATGGTTGTTCAAGTCTTCAAAGTTTTCCAGATGTATTAGATAAGATGGAGAATTTGAGGACAATTGATTTGGAAGGAACATCCATCCCAGGATTGCCATTTTCAATTCACTATCTCATTGGGCTTGAAAGCTTAAACATGGATGCATGTCCTAATCTTATGAAATTACCATCTAATATTTGTATGTTGCCAAACCTTTCAGAACTAACAGCAAATTTTTGTGAAGAGATGAGGCATTTTGACATTGGTAGCGGTGGAAATAAAGGAAGCTTAGACTGCTCATCAATATCGTCGAAATTGAAAGAATTTTATTTCTCAAATTGCAATTTATCCAATCACTCCCTTGCTCTCTGTCTCTCTTACATACCTAATGTTGTACGTTTAGATCTAAGGTTTAATAATTTCACAACTCTTCCAGCATGCATAGAAAATTTTCACCATTTAAGATACCTTTTGCTAGATAATTGCAAGGAACTTCGTAATATTGTGCGGATGCTGCCAAACTTGGAACAATTCAGTGCCATAAGTTGCACATCATTGTCAAAGTTATCTAAGAGCAAAGTGTTGAATAAGGTCACTCCCCCACTCCAATCTTTTCTTAGTTATCTTATTTTGGTACTTAATTATATTTTATTTGTAATTTTCGGTAATATGTAATTTGCAGGCGTTCTACTTTGAACCTGGGAAAAGAAACTTCATTTTGCCAGGAAAGAAAATCCCTGAGTGGCTTGACTATTATAGTCGAGGAAGCTCCATGTCCTTTTGAATTTGTGATAAGTTCCCGACAATTTTTCTTTGGTTTCTTGTTGAAAATGATGAAGATTCTCCTTACAATTCTATGTTCGCAGTACACATCAATGACATCAAGTTAGATATTAATTCTTTTGGTGGCTTCTACTATCAACAATGAAGACTAACCATATATACATATGTGATTTGCAAAGCATCCTTCAAAATGTTGAAATCCCTCATGTAAATAAATGGAATCAAGTTCAGGTTTCGATCAAGGGCAATGGACGAGAAATGAATAGGGAAAAAGAAATTGATATTGCAGTTCGTGTATATTGGCAACAAAATATCTTATACGGTATCCGATTTAGGGATCCTAGAATGTTCCCTGATGATGGAAACTTATGGCAACAACGGCAACCGCCAACTAATGATTGGGAAAGCCTTGAAGATGACATGCATTGCGAAGGTAATTTTCCCCCTCTTTTGTTTGTCTTCCCATTGATTTTCTTTCCAATACATATTGACATATATCTTGATTACTATAACTTGCGGCAAAAAAGGTACAACTAGATGTATGATTGGGAAATGATATGAATTTGGATTTTAAAAAGAAATCATGCAAAAACATGCTTTTAAAAAATAAATAATTTACGGTGGACAGTATTTATTTAAATTTTTTATTAATATTATAATATTGGATATTTTTTTAAAAGGGGTTAAAGTGCATTTTTCCCTTTTACTTTCCTTTAAAGAATGTTGGGCATTCTATATTAATAAGTGGGGCATTTTTCTCTTTAAATTATTTTTTAGAGGAGTAAAAGTTTTCTTTTATTAGTGATCGGTTAACTCTAGTATTTTTACATTGACGTGACACATCATTTTGTGTTAATTTATCCTTAAACTTTTATTAATTTTTAGAAGCACTAGGCTCCCAAAAGTTTTGTTAAAATAAAATTTAATAATTATTAACAAAATATTTAATATTTATTAAGAAAATGATCTTTTGAGCAATTAATATCAATTAAACCTCTTAAATTTTTTTTTAGTTCACTCTATGTAATTTTTTTGTCAACTAACAGTCAAATTAATAGATATTTAGAATTGAAGTGTTACTTATTCTTAACAAGTATTTTCATATAATGCAATATATTTGTAATTCTAAAATTGAAAAAAAGAAACAAGTTGCAAATTCAATAAGACAATATTAATTTTATTCATTTATTTAGCGTTTCATTCCCTTATTTTTAATACAAAGTTATAAAATATCAAAATATTAAATTTGGGTTGTGGAATCTTTTGGAAAAAAATTTTTAGTTAATCAATAAAATTATAAAAATGACCTAAAGTATTTAAAGGACTTAATCGTTATTAATTTTATTATAAAGTTATTTTTTATAATTTATTTTAAAATATTATTATCATCATTCTTCTGAGAGTTAAAGTATATCTTTTTCCTATATTTTCATTCGAGTATCGATGAGTTCCTTATACTAATAAGTATGATATTTTCTTTTTTAAATTATTTTTTAAGGAGTAAAAATCTTCCCTGTTAATAGATCAAAGGGGGATTCTTTCTGTCCAAGTCTCCTATATGCTCTTTTATTGTTTCTTTCTCTCCCTCTCTCTTAATACATGAGTCAAACGAAAATGATAAGCCTTAGCCCTTGAAGAAACAAGCCCTTTAGGTAAATGAATAGTGTAGTGTCAGGGGGGGGGGAATCAAATTTTCAAACATGGGGCCTGTTTTGGAAACCTGTTCTGAGAACAGTTTTCTGTTCTCTAGAACAAAAGAACAAAAAAATTTGTTAGGTAACATGTTTTTAAAAAGTGTTTTAGAGAACAAAAAAAAACAAAATATTGTTCTAGAGAACAGAAAAATAAAAACAACTTTTAGGTGTTCTATGATTATTGTTCTGAAGAACAAGGGAGAATGAGAAAAATAATTATTTTCATTATTTTTTTGTTCTCAAAACATATTCTACAGAACACCAGTTCTCAAAACAATAAAATAAAAACAGTTTCAAACAGCCCCATATAATCTTAACTTTTTACTTTTTAGTTTTCTTTTCAATCTCCTTTTCACTATTCTCATTGCTCTTTCTTTCATATGGCTCTTCGATCCTAAGATATTTATCCTCATTTGAAAGTTATGTTTGGACCTAATCTCAATAACAAAATTGCTTCGATTTTCCAAATCTGATACAATTGCAATTCAGGCGAAGATGTGATAGTGGGAAGTCGAGTTCATTCTTGTTCTCATAATTAGCTCCATCAACACATTCTTTTTGTTTCCTTAGTGTCAAGTTTGGTGGCTCCAAGCCTATCATTGTTCAATTTTAAATTTCAAAATCTCTCCTTTTGCTTGACAGGAAAGAAGGGTATCCCATCGGAGTATCCTACCGACGAAGGCCCGCCTCCCCCATCCAGAAGAGAGCTCCAACTCCAAGGCCCTCGTCCCGCCCCTCTTAGTGTCAGCGAAGAATCTCACAAGATCCGAAATCTGCCACAGCTGGTGATCATTCACGTTCCCGTCAACGACTTCATGAAGGTCGTGCAACGTCTCACCGGCCAGTCATCCCCTAGCCAACTCTAAAGTATGAATTTTAGTTTTGAAATTTTAGATAATAATGGTTGGTTGTAATTGTATCAGGAGTAGAAGGAAGTCTTTAAAAATTAGAGGAAATTTATTAAATTTTATTTACTCATATCTTTATAGGGTGTGTGGATGAAGAGGATTCTGGTAGAAATTGAAAAGAGAATATTTGGGAATTTGGAACTCTAACACGTAAGTGAATGGCATCCCAATTATTTTACTTATAACAGTCTTTTTTAAAAATATTTATTTTTATATAGATCATTTTTATTTACTATGATAAATTGGATATGTTGTGAATGAAATTATTTTATCATGAGAAACTACAAATGGTTACAAAGGATAACTAAGATGTGGTATGTACACATATTTTTATTCATGAGTTATATTTTCAAGATTTATGGTATTATTTCTATTTATTTTAAAAATTTTTGAATATTCAATAAATGCTATTATGAAACTTTATTTTCAATGAGCATTAAATTAAAATTTGAAATGATTCATGCGAGTCTGATATTGAAAATGAAAATTATATTTTAAAAGTGATTTTTTTCTTGCATGTTTGAAAAGTAATTTTTAGATGATTTTAAATAGAACACTATTGCTAACAGCAGTTTCATTAGCCCGTAGAGTGCTGTGGTTAATAGCTAGCTAGTTTGTCTTGTTGGTTTTATTCTCACGTTTGATATTCATGGGTCTTATACTTGTGTTTATTTTATATAGCTTCGAGCCATGTTTGGTTAGCATTATCCTCATGAACTATATGTCCACGTTTGTTTTCATGACATAAGCCATGTTTGGTTATTTACCCTCATGAATTGTGTATTTACGTTTGTTATTTGTTCTGTTAAGTCCTAAAAAAATTTAAATTTTGATTAACTTGCTTATTTAAAGTTCCAATGGTTTCCATTAATTTATTTTCTTTAAGCATGATAGAATAAAGTGCTTTCAATTCACTTTCATTTTATGCTTATGATTATGATTTATAGGTTTATGAAATTATTATGTTGAATTATCATCTTTTCAAATATTTTACATGATTATTTGAGTTTATTATTTCAATTCTTTTAAATTCTATTTTGGGGATGCTATTTATTAAAAATTTATTTTGATCTCAGATTCATTAGCTGACGCTGATCCTACCGCTGACCTTTGAAGGGCATATAGCTATACTGGGTGGAAATTTTGTGCAATATTGTTCCCTTTTGATGTGAATATTTATGACTCGTGTTTGAATTTAGAAGTATGATTAGTTTCTCCACATAAGTTATAGATAGAGTTTTATTTTGATATACATGCTGTTTGCTAGTTGGAAGGAGCTAAACTCCTGATTAATATGATATTTTGTAAAAATTTTTGTATCGTAAAATTTTTAGGAGATCCAAATTATAAGGGAAGTTTTGTCAAAATTTCTACAAAAAACGTTAAAGCTTTGCTATAATAATTAGTAATATAATTTGATTATTTTTTTTGAAACATAATAAATCTTCATTTTGAGGCTTACGGGAATGTGTGATGTGGTTCACACCCGTGCCAATCGCTCTCTATTTTCAAGGCTTGACAAAGTGCTCCTCTTCAATTAAATCATTATCAAAAGATTGTATTGTCCCGTAGAAAGGATCATATTCAATATTCATATCTTCATTACCATGACCTTCATCATCATCATTATGTTTTTTGTTTGATAAAAGTATAATAGACCAATTCTTTTTTGCCAGACTAGGAACAAAAACACTTGTTAAGCTTGCAAAGCTAAAATAAAATGGTCATATCTATATCCTACTTTAGAGAGATCCACTTGAATAAATCTAAAATTATGAATTCGGAATCCATTATAATTGTTAACCCAGCTACATCCAAAGATTGGCACCCTAAATATAGAGTAATCCAACTCCCATATATGTTCAATGACACCAAAGTATGACATTTATGCATAGATTGGGTTGGTATCTTTTGAACTAGATACACGTAGACCACTAGCAATAAGCATTAGTCCACTATTCTGCACTGTGCTTTGATCATCTTGTTCTTTGATATAAAAAGTGTGACCATTGATTACATAACTAATGTAAGATAAAACTTGTAAACTCAATCCCTTGGCCAGCCATCTCAATTTTTCAAAAACATTATCGAGACTCTTCCTCGACTCCTTAAGAATGCAATTTCTAAATTACTTTACAAATCGTCGATTGTGTTCTTTTGTTACGAAATTCTCATTTCTAACACGAAACATGTCTCTGAGAATATCCTTGCATTCTTCCACAAATCGCTTAACTTCTTCATTGTTGTGCAGAACATATAGATGAGCTTGTTCACATTCGACTACTAAGATGCTAATAACTTTATTTTCAATTATTCCTTTCCTTGATCTTTGTCTATCATGATGAGACTTTAGAATCCTTATAACATCAATGTTGGATCAATAATCTATACACAATTCAACTACTTCTTTGACTATGTATCATTCAGCAATACACCTCTCAGGTTTATATCTATTTTTTACACAGCCTTTTAATATTTTCATATAACATTCAATTGAGTACATCTATCTCAAACATGCTGGTTAGCATTTTTGAACTTCTTTGACTGAGTGAACAGTAAGACAAGCACAACCATCCAAGAACATGCATGCCTGTCAATATTATACGACAAAATGAGTTTGAAATAAACATAATAATTTTAATAAACTTTATGTATAAGAACATGACTGCTTATGGGAATGGTTCATTGTATTACCTTTTTCAGTCAATCATATATTGATAAAATGACGAGGACTCCAATAAGATTAGATATACTTAAAACAAGTTGACATTTTTTTGTTGGATAAACAAGTTAAATTTACAAATTAATTTATTTTAAACCAGGGCATTAAGTTGAAGGTTTGTAATAGTTTGTTTCAATGTTTTTAGAACCAGATTGGATATTGAACTAAAAAAGTTAGTGGTTCACGGTTCACAAGGCTCAACTGAGTTGAACTAATGGTCAAGCCGGTGACATAATAATTAAATTAAAAAAAAATATATATGTATATAATAATTTAAATATAAGAAATACATATGAAATTGCTATTTAACTTAAAAAAAATCAAATATTTTAAGTTTATCATGACTTAACAAGCCACATGATACAACATAGTATCAAATGATTAAAAAAATTATTCATTTTTTTTAAAAAAATTGATAAAAAATAAAAAAAAAGTTTTTTTGAACAGTTTGATTTTTGAAAACTGAATCTAGTTCCCGATCCAACCACCAGCTCAACCCGGCTCAACCCCTAAAACTGTTTTTTTCCTATGAACCAGACCAAAAACTAGACCGATCAACGATCAGATCAGTCCGACCGTCCGGTCTGGTTTGCCTTTAAAAACACTAGTTTGTTTCCAACTACGTGTGATTGACAGATGGATGATACATTTGTGGATGAAGCTACAAGTTGAGTAATTGACTTCACAAGTACGTTAACAAATGATAAACCTCCAAGTTGACTGACGGATGTTATATCTATGACAATTGACAAACCTACAAGTTGACCTTCCAATCTTCACATCATGAATTTAAACCTACAAATCGATCTTCCAATAATCTTCACAGATCTTGTATGTAAAACCTATTTGTGAAGATCCCATCCTCACAGGAAACATTGTCCACAAAACCGCATGCTTGAAGCTTCCTTTATCCAACCTCATCTTTCCATGTGCTAGTAGTCTTAGTTGTGGTCTTCATCTTTCTCAGCATTGTTCTATGAGAAAATTGTCAAAAGTTTAGATTGACAATGGGGTTGGATTCTATTCACCACCCTAGTTGTGATATTGCTTTTAATTTATACTAAAAGGAAAAAAAGAGGACCTGTCATTTTCCATCTTGTACTCTTGCTTATCATGGTTTTGTAACCTTCCTTTAAACTAAAGTTTTGCTCTGTTTCATTTCTTTTTCTAGAGTTTTGAATTCCTGGATAAAGTTACTTATTAGTTTGATGAATTTGATAGTAAAATGTCAAAGATCTATATAGTCTTTTTTTGCTTTCAATTGTCTGATATAGGAAACTTTGAATCTAACCACAACAAAGTGACAAAATATATGATAGGAGATAGAGCCGTATGAATTTTGTTTACGGTATGGAATCTTGTTTATTTAGAAAGAAATTTGCCAAATGAGGACATGAATTTCTCTGACAATACCCTGCTGAAGACAATTGTGAAGATATTGAAATTTAGTTTTAAGCATGCTTGAGAATTGAATGATAATTGATCACCATAGAAAAGCTTTCTATAGGCCTTTATACTTCTTTCTATACTCTTCTTTTATCTCATGGTTTGTGTCTTCAACAGAAGTCGATAAATCTTTTAAATTATTTATAATTGATGCTAAGTAGCTTACTTTGTCCTGCATCTACTTCTCCTTCTGTATCTTCTATTCACTTCTGAATTTTTTATTTGTAGTTGGATTTGAATCTGAAATAAATTTGCCAAGCTTGTCTATGGAGTTGCAACAAGTGAACAACTAAAAAAAGCTAATGGCACGTAGAATATTCAATAAATTTATGGATTAGTTGCAAATAATCAATGGTACCTATTGTCCTTTATTTTCCTCTGTTGTTGTGTTTCTTTAAGATTGAAATTTATCCTATAACATTTCAAAGAAAAGGATAATCAATGTATAACTATGAAGTTATTCGCAATAGTATTTTATGAAACTAACTGATTCCATTGTTCAATATGACTCTTTCTTGCTAAGACTGAAGAGTTTTATTACTTATCCTTATTCCTCAAGAAATCTAGTGAAGCCAAGATGGATTGCAGGGCCTTTGGGATTCATTCATTTTCATTATGTCTGCATTTGTTGTTATCATCTCAGTTGAGTGGTGAAAATTGGATACTTCGGTGCCTAACATGCTTTATTTTCAATTCTAATAATGCTCAGCACCATTCATGGCTTGATTCTTGAGAGGCTTTTATCTAATGTCTTTTAGAGCATAAATGAGCTTGTTGACTTGTCAAAATAAGTGAAGTAGTGCCAATATTTCAACCATTTCATTTTTTTTTGAATTTGCCGACAATATAGAGATGCTGTTAAAGCTATTAAAACAACAAAAGAAGGAAAAAGGCTTTATGGCAAATCCCACTAGTTAACTTCATTGAGTTATGGTGAGTATGCAGTTCTTCATTTGATTCTTGTCACAGTATATTCCTCAAACAATAATCTCTATTATGCAATTTTATAAGACTAGATTTACAATCCTTGCTGTGAACAAGATGAAAAAGAGGAAAAAAGAAGGCACTCTAATTATGTTGCTTGTTCCTCTTCTTTATGTACTTGTAAATCTTAAAGTTAGTTTTTAATTCTTGGTCCTATAAATAGAGGTGATGTACACCTATTTGATAGTGAAGTGATGAGAACTTCTCCTTATCTTCTCTCCCAATTCTCTCCTTTCTTTATCTCCCTCAACCCAATCTCTTGTAGTTTTCTTTTCTTCATAATGCTCTTGTTGGAAGTTTGAATCTTTTACTTTCCTATCATCTCTTGGGGAAAGTTTGTAGTTCTTCATTTGTCCATGCGAGAGTTATGATGCCTATGCAGTTTTTGCACCGTTTTTCCTTCTTAATTAAATGTTAGTACTTTAATATTGTTGTGCTTTGGCTTTAACTTATTTTTTTTTGCACTTTCTCTGTCTTAAAAAAATTAAAAACAATTTGCAAGTGTTAAAATATCTGTTAGCAACAAAATTCTTGCAAGGAAAAGTGATTCTGTTTAAATCATTAATAAATTATGCCATATTATAATCATTGTTTGCAAAACTTAGAAATTAGATGATTTTAAATTATATATGTTGAGATTGTCGTTTGACAATAGTAATCATATTTGAAAAGAGTTTTCATATAAAATAATTTCATGTAAACAAATTTTTCTTCATCATACCATGATTATCTTGCAAAGTTTAATAAATGTATAAGCTTAGCCAGCTAGACTTGTACTAATCCTTAATATAATAAAAAGTTCTAAAATTTATTGTCAAGTCACCCCTCCATCATGTTTTGTTACTTGACAACCTAAACTTCTATCACATAGACAAATATCTTACATAGGAACTTTAGTATTATCTAATTTTGCAGTAAAATTTAAGCTCAGTTTACAGGTTTAAGTATGATGCTATCTCTTTGACTTAACCTCAGTTTTGCTCATTGTGCAGGAATGCTATGCTAGAAGTTACCATGTCTTTGGACTATCCTGATGAGATTCT